GGAAATTTTGTTCTATAAATCGCAGTGTATAATTTTTAATATACAATTTTATTGAACATTTTTTAATATTCGTGCTCTGTGAATTTTTTTAATGTGCTCCAATTTACTTGATATTTTGGAAATAGGCTAATCTTTATCTTAAGTTCAGAAGTGAAAACAATTTGCACTCCGTCACCATCCAACGCATTAATTGGATTATTACTCTTTTAATTCTGATTTTATCAGAACTTGTAATACACTATTTTAAAGGTGATTAAATGAGCTACAACTTTTTTTATCATAAATTTTACCGTAACTTCTCTTATTGTGAAACGGCGAAGGGTTAAAGGGCTCGAAAGACTTCTAGTTGGACAGCCGCGCACTCCTTAATTAATACCTCTATCAATATTTGTATAATGGAAAAATAATAAACAACAATAATTAGTCAGAAAAATACCTCGAATTTTCATATATATATACTTTTATACGTATTCTTTCAGAGATATTATAATGAGAAATTGGATGTTTTTTTTTAATGTTTTTTTTTATGAAATCATGAGTTTTTTTTAAAATCGTTTGTACTAAAGTTGTGGTATTTTCTAGAATCCATCAAGATCTCTTAAACCAAGTTAATTCTAGATGGAATACGATTATTTTTAAATTTGGTGGAAATGACACTGAAAAACTATTTTATTTAAATGAAAACCATTATATGCGTCTTTTATTTGCATGATAGTTTACTCATTTTACTCGCAGAAGTACTCATTTTGAAGCTTATTTTGAGCACTATAAAAACCCATTTTCATATCTAGCCTAATAATGTTCCTAAAACACTATAAAATAGCGATTTATTAAGATTTTAATTGATATAATTTTGTTCATTACATGATTTTCGTTAAAATGTATATTTTTGAAGATATTAGCAAAAAATGATGAAAAACGCAAAAAAGAAACAAATTTTCAGTAGCCAGTAACTTGAAAAGTATTTGCTTTTTTAAAAAACATTATTAAACATTTTTCTCTTATAATTAGTTCTTTTATCGATACCAAACGTTATTTTGAAAAAGTAAAATTACACCACTGAAAAGAAATCTCATCCACCCGGGAAGTGGTTAAGGAGTCTAAATTGTTTTCACTTCTGAAGAGCAAGATGAACCTAGTTCCAAAATTCCAAACGAAATGGAAAACAGTAAAAAAAGTTCAGACCGAAAGCGCTCCATTGAGTAAATATTCCGTACCCAATGACAATAATATGAATTTTTGACACAATGAAACTTCTAAATAATTTTTTTTGTATTGTGACTTAGTATAGTGAGGCAAAACGACTGCAAATTGAATATTTTTGAGTCTCCTTCGCACGAATTCGTGCGGCGAATCTGTTCGCAAAGTGCGCAAACAAAATTATTGCAAACAAAAGCACGTGTACGTTGAGAACACGATTCGCGGTGCGCGTCAGACGCATGCGCATACTGTCAAACGCATATGTTATATTATTTGCATCTTATATTAATTTAATATTTGGCACATCTCAGCTGCTTTTCGGCATTAATAATGTAGACATTACATTTTCCTTAATCATAATCATGAATTTATTATATTTTAATATTGCCTTAGCCTATAAGTGAACAGAAATGTTTGGCAAATGACAGTCTTCAATTGTTTTTAATGTCAAACTAAGCTTCAAATATTTTCAAGGGCAAACAATGATAAGCGGTTTTTTGTATTTTTTTCCATTTATTTCTACAATCTAACTATATTTCTATGAATCAAAACATTCTAGAAAATTTCCCGAACAAACTTCAGGAAGATTCATGAAAATCCGAATTATAGTTTAGGAGGGATTATGAAACTTACATTGTTACAGAAGAATTTTATATATAAGATATATATATATATATATATATATATATATATATATATATATATATATATTTTGAAATATGTGAGTTTGGTGTTGATATATATTTTGATGAGTTATTTAGAATCGGGCAGTAACAACAAGTAAAGAAAAAAAAATAAAGTAGTTTTTAAATACTTTATTTATCCATACGTTTCGGTCTTCATCGAGACCGTCATTCAGTGGAAAAAGAATTAATTATACAAAAATACACTACACTATTACACTGTGATAACCAGGCTATTAATAATTGGAACATTTAAACTAAATTAATTTTTTAGACAATTTTTGCTTACATTCTAGTGTGTACAATTTGACTAACGTCTAAAAACTGAATTCACATATATTCACATATGCACATATCTATATATTAATGTATCTACAATTATATACATGAACATATACGCAAGTGCATGTATATAGTGTACATACAACTGCTGAATTAAGCGTCACTCATCATAAAAGCCGAAATTTCCAAAGCACTCTTGTCCAACATTCTATTGAAAACTTACATAATTTTACCTTTTAACCCAATATTTTATATAGAGAGGATTGTACTTTTAAAAGACTTTTTTCTGAAAGCAGTTTAATCTTTTGTAGTTTTATCAGATTTTACTTGATTCGAATCAACTCGTATCAAGCCGCGAAATATTTACTGTGTACATGTATGAACACAAATTTTCATATATATAAAAAAAATGTTTTAATTTAATTCAATATTATAATAATATAAATAATAATAATAATAAATATTAAAAATAATAATAATAAATATAAAAAATAAATCTTGAATTAAATCATGCGAGTCACCCGGCTTCAATACGCTTAAATGTATCACCCGACTACAATTTATATGACTTGAACCGCTTTCATTGTCTTCAAGTCGATATGAATTTATCCGAGTTCCTATGACTCAATCCGACCTATTTCGACTTCAAGTCGATATGAATTCATCCGAGTTCCTATGACTCAAACCGACTTATTTCGACTTCAAGTCGATATGAATTCATCCGAGTTCCTATGACTCAAACCGACTTATTTCGACTTCAAGTCGATATGAATTCATCCGAGTTCCTATGACTCAAACCGACTTATTTCGACTTCAAGTCGATATGAATTCATCCGAGTTCCTATGACTCAAACCGACTTATTTCGACTTCAAGTCGATATGAATTTATCCGAGTTTATATGACTCAAACTGAATCATTCCGACTTGAGTTCGAAACATGTGTCCGTATTTTAGCGTATCGACTTATCGAGATGCTTTGCGTATGGGTCTTGAGTGTTTGTTTATTTTTGACTAAGCGCTGAGAGCAAATTTGTTCATGAAATATCAAAAACTTATTTAGATAATAAATACGCGATTTAGATTTTAATTATTATCAAAATGAACTACACAACGAGTTTTATACACATACAAAATTATCATATTTTAATTGTGCAACTAATGGCAAATTTACACAAATGAAATAATATCAATCTTTACAGTAGTGGATTGAATTTTAAGTCATTCGTAAGACGTTAGATTCAGCTCCACGTTTAGATTAGATCTAAACAATCAATAATATACACATGCATTCGTTCAACGTAAGATTAAGAATATTGTTTTATATGCTTTAGTGATAGAGGAAGTTTTTGGTTATATTTTACTGTAAATTCACATGAAATATTAGTTATATTTGTAGCTAGTTTATTATTATATATATAATATAAATGTATTCATCTCTGCACTTTTTGGAATTAATTGCTTACTAAATTAATTATTTCGCTTATAAAATTATTAAAATGATATTATTTCTTCTCTTAAATTATAATTGTTCATATATGAACTTGATTCGAATTGATTGAATGAATTGAATGAATTGATTTCACTCGAATCAGGAAATTTTCGAGTCGGCACATCACTAATATATATATATATATATATTATATATATATATATATATATATATATATATATATATATATATATATATATATATAAATATATATATATATATATATACATATAAATATACATATAAATATATATATATTTTGTAGAGTTTCGAACAAGAATCCAAAAATAATACAAAATAAAAAACAAGAAAAGTTTTTAAAAAAACAATTTCTTTATTTAATTATTTGTTTATTGTCGACGTTTCGGAACTAGGTACGTTCCATCTTCAGGACATCTGTCAAGAAACATGATCTTGATGAGATTTTAGCAAACAATATGTTTAGGAAAAGAAAATAGATTTTTCTTAAATAATGAATTAATTGTAAAAAAAATATAATAATGTACAGAAATATGATAATATGTTCAAAATGAAAATGATAAAAATGATAAAAATAAATGAGTGGATTATCAGAACAGGATATTACACATAATAGAAAATTTTTTGAAAGTTATGGAAATTTATTCGGCGGAAAATTAACTCACAAATTCATTTTTGTTAAAAAAGCTTGTTTAGTGAAAAAGTGCTAACAAATATTCAAACATACAGGTAATTAATTCAACTTTGTCATTAACCTTTTCTTAAAAAATTTCCATAACTTTCAAAAAATTTTCTATTATGTGTAATATCCTGTTCTGATAATCCACTCATTTATTTTTATCATTTTTATCATTTTCATTTTGAACATATTATCATATTTCTGTACATTATTATATTTTTTTTACAATTAATTCATTATTTAAGAAAAATCTATTTTCTTTTCCTAAACATATTGTTTGCTAAAATCTCATCAAGATCATGTTTCTTGACAGATGTCCTGAAGATGGAACGTATCTAGTTCCGAAACGTCGACAATAAACAAATAATTAAATAAAGAAATTGTTTTTTTAAAAACTTTTCTTGTTTTTTATTTTGTATTATTTTTGGATTCTTGTTCGAAACTCTACAAAATATACACAAATCCAAGACTCTACCATTCAATATATATATATATATATATATATATATATATATATATATATATATATATTAAATGGTAGAATCTTGGATTTATGTATATTTTGTAGAGTTTCGAACAAAAATCCAAAATTTTTTGGATTCTTGTTCGAAACTCTACAATATATATATATATATATATATATATATATATATATAATCCAAAATATTATATATACATATGATTATAGATTAAAAAAATGGCTGACCGAGTTCAGAAAACTAAAGAAGATGTGCTCAAGAATAGAGAACGATATGAATTAGCGTTGCAAGAAATCAATAATTATAATCCCAAGTATATGGATGACATGGACAGAGTGTTTCAAAAATGCCAGGAGATGGAGGCCACCAGATTAACATTTTTCAAAGAAACTTTGTTTAAAGTTCATAAATGTCTCAACATTTCACAGGATCCCATGTATGTATTTTTTTTTTATTCACTTGTATTTCATACACAAAATTTTTAATAGGGAGACCACAAAGTAAACTTTTTGTCATTTAGTATTCAAATAATTCATGCCGAAACACTCAATTAGTTTTTTAGTAATATATTTAGGGATGGATGGATAATCAAAAAATACTTTTCTTATTGTTAACGCAATAGGTTATTGTTTCCATTTCCACTTCTGCTCTTGGCATGTCATGGTTTGGGGTTGTTGGTCTATCTAATCGATACGATTTGGAAAGATCAAAATTACTGGACCGAAATTGTAAAATCACCTTTGGCATTCACGAGCGTCGAATAAACTAAGATAAACATAGTAGATGTTTTTTGTGCGAAACTCAAAAAGCATATGATGCCGCAAATGTACTACTTCTGGTATTTAGCTGATTATATCATTATAAATACATACAAAAAATAAGATCAAATAATTCATGTGGAGTCTAATCAGTTGATGCTTAAAATGTATTTGCCACGAACTTGAAGTGTACAATGAAGTTGAGAACAAATGAATATCGAAATGCCCAACAATAACTCTGGTCTCTGCAATATAAATTTTACACATTCTTTTTTATACTTGCAGAGGCAATTTTTAATCATTAGAAGTTAGAAATAATATTTTTAGGTTTACTTCAGACTCAATGATAATGATGAAAAATACGTATTCTTGTTAAATATGCCATCAGGTAATATTTTTAGATTATTTTTATAGGTGCTTTGCTTGACTACAGTTTGATGATTTAAGAAAAATATATTTTCACAATTCTTTTCTACCTTAATTGTACGTCACTCTCACGCATTTCATTTGACAAACTTCAGCTCGTCTGTATTGTCTGTCTCACTTTTTGTGTATGTCGATGATTATTTTCACTCTTTTTCGTTCTATTTATGTTTTTATTGCCAAATGACATAGTCAAGATTTTTCATCTTCTCATTATCGTCTTGGTTAAGGTTAACACTTGTAATTTAGAGCATTATTATTGATGCCAAATACTTTTCAACTTTTTAATAGAGGTGTTATCCACTAAATAATATTAAAAATCGACTTGCTATTTTTTGAATGTGGTCTACTCAATTACGATTATAAATAGTGTATGTGCGTTATTAAAAAGTGTTGTAGTTTTCCGTTCGATATTAGATATATTCACAACTTTTCTTAACTTTTGGAGTTTTTATATTTGAAAATTGAAAGCCATATTCAGGGTTCATATGATATTCTTTATTCAGCAATAAAAGTTTAATTCAAAGTTTTATATTTGCAGGCTGCCGCAAATTTATGATGAATTTTATCATACAATAAATAATGCTGATCATCAAAAAGATCTTAAATGGTGGTCAAATAATCATGGCGTTAATATGGCAATGAATTGGCCACAATTTGAGGTGGGTGCATTTTAATTAGCATGTTACAATTTGCTTCGTTTCTATAAAATCTTGAGCATGATAACGCATCACAGTCGAAAGTATTTTAAATTAAAATAATAATCGAGGCACAGGTTAAGTTTTTATTAAAGAAAAGATCCAAATAATGTTTCCATATTATATATTATATTATATTATATATATATATATATATATATATATATATATATATATGTATATATGTGTATATATATATACACCTAAGTCTGTTTTTACACGGTAGATTGGTTCCAGAAGAAGCCGTGTAAAAAAAAAACGCGTAAAAGAAGACATTGATCCTATACAAAAATGGGTAACTAAATAACATAAAATATTTAACAAAATTAAAAACCATAAATAAGTGAATAAATACAAAATATTTTTTGGCTTACCTTTTATCTTAATGCGTTAAAATTAAATTTAATGGAAAATCAAATTTGCCTGCAAAAAATTTCTTTACCAAACACGTCTTATTGCATTGACAGTTCACAAAATATTAACACGTTTCAATTGCTCTGACCAGTAAATTTTATTGTATGCACATAAAGGGAATTCCCCTAAATTAGTGCTATTCACATTTGCTTTGACCAGTAAAAATTGTTTGTACGCGCTAAAGGGGAATTCACTTAAATCTTTAAGCTAGCATTCGCAAACTATCGATACTATCGATGGTTTCAGACTTTTTTCCTTCATAAATACTTTTTTGTGATATGAACATACTTCGCAAAAATTAAATTTGACAAAAAAAAATTAAGTACATAAAATTTCAAATCGTGCTAAATGGAATAAAATCATGTAAAAAAATTAAAAATATTCAATTTTCAAAACCGTGTACAAAAAGACCGTGTAAAAACAGACTTAGGTGTATATATATATACACCTAAGTCTGTTTTTACACGGAGATTGGTTCCAGAAGAAGCCGTGTAAAAAAAAAAACGTGTAAAAAAAGACATTGATCTTATACAAAAATGGGTGATTTGTCCTACTCTCTAAAACCTATTAAAATTAGTGAAAAACAAGAATTTTCAAGAACAAGAATTCATGTTTATTTTAATTAATAATTCATGTTAATTTTAATAAATAATTCCCCTAAATTAGTGCTATTCACATTTGCTTTGACCAGTAAAAATTGTTTGTACGCACTAAAGGGGAACTTACTTAAATCTTTAAGCTAGTGTTCGCAAACTATCGATACTATCGATGGTTTCAGACTTTTTTCTTTCATAAATACTTTTTTGTGATATCAACATACATCGCAAAAAATTAAATTTGACAAAAAAATTTAAGTACATAAAATTTCAAATCGTGCTAAATGGAATAAAATCGTGTAAAAAAATTAAAAATATTCAATTTTCAAACCGTGTTATATCAAAACCGTGTACAAAAAGACCGCGTAAAACAGACTTAGGTGTATATATATATATATTCAAATATGTGAGTTTGGTGTTGATATATATTTTGATGAGTTATTTAGAATCGGGCCGTAACACCAAGTAAAAAAACTAAAGTAGTTTTGAAATTCATAATGACCGACATGATTTTACATGATGTGGCAAAGTCTACGAAAGCAATTGCTAAGTCTTTTGTGCACAATATAGCACTAGGGACTGAATTTACAATAAAATTATGTAAAGAAATCAATCAAAAATTGATAAATTAAATTATTAATTTAAGAGATTAATTAAATAAATTGTTATTCTGGCTCAACTGATGAATATTTCTGACCAATAGCAGATCAATGTAATATACAGAATTTACTGTGTTATCTTTGTAACAAATGTACCCACAGAATTAATATTTTGCATTGTTTCAATAATGTAGCGTAAAATCCCTTTAAAATTTAATAGAAGAAATTGCATCTGTTTGCCCTCTGGTTGTCCCACTTTACCCCGTATTTGAGGTTAAATGGGTCAGATACCATATTTAAAAAAAAAGTAAAAAAAATATTATTTTTATAAATAGGAATATTATATATATATATATATATATATATATATATATTCCAGGCTTAACGTATGTTATGATGATTTATTTGGCGAAACTTAAATTTAAATAATTATATTTATTTAAATCATTTTACTAATTAATACACAAGTCCACAAAAAAATCTGAGCTGGTCGGTGTGCGAGTCCCACGCAATTTGAGCCGTAAACAGTACATCAGAAAACATACGTCGCAATTGCATCGGAAGTCAAAATTAGGGATTTGGGATTGCACAGTTTATTTAAGGAGAAACCAGGAAACGTCAGAAATATTTAAAGAACAAGAAAGATTTTAATTGGCAAATTATTCTGTAAACAATTTTGAAATCAGATTCATGTTCAGGAGTTAATATACGACGGAAAACATATGTGGCACACCCAGCACAGATCACTTGTTTGTGAACCTGTGTTATTTAATTTTAATACAGAGTAATAGTGTTATTTGAAATTAAATAGCATGATATTTAATGTGTTAATGTAGTTTTGATTTTATTCGTTTTATGATTTCTTTGGATGATTTATTTTATGATGGATGTCGCACGAATTTTCTTGGTAAATGAAATAAAAACCTAGGAATACACTGAAGAATTTCGTGAAATAGCTAAAGGAAAAACAAAAGATCCCTTACCGACTGCACCCATAATGCTAATTAACCAGCGAACAGTTGGAGAGGAGTTGGTTATTGTCAAACCTTTGCCTAATCAAGTAAGTTACTTTGGTGATCAAATATTTTGCACAAAATTGCATGAATATTATATATATATATATACTCGTATATATATATATATATAATTTTTGGAAAGGCAGGTCGTGCGATTATGGACTCTAATTAAAATAAATTTAAAAATTGCCATTTGGCGGTGAAAAATATTCATTAGACATATGCACATCTAATTATCAAATATTTTATAGATATTGTAATAATGTATATACATTTTTCGTCAGTTTTTTTTTGGATTCCGTACCAAGATTTTTTATTTTGAAGTTCGCTTATATGGATGAAACAAATGTTCATTACATATCCAACAGTATGGAATAACCGATTTGAATAATTGAAGAAACATTCAGTTTGCACTAACCGCGAGACGTTTTTGCGAAAAGCAGGTCTAGCGGGAGGTATCGAGCGTAAAGGGTGTAACAACGTACAAACAGTTTTTTGAGAGTAATGATTATCCGATTTGAATAATTCAAAAAACATTTTGCTTGTGTAGGCGGTGTGAAAAAATGCTTTTACAAAAAAAATGTAATTTTCAAAATTTTCAAAAAATAAACAAAAAAAATTATTCTTGCTTGTGCATGTATTTATGGCGCTATGCTTCTGCATGTATTTAAGCATCGATGAAATCATGCTATATTTCATGTATTTCCATACAAAATACACAGGGGTCTGGCCAGGCACCATCCGCATAAAGTAAGGTTTAATACTTTACTATCCTTTTTTCGTCCCGTTCAAGGACATTTATTAAAATGAAAATAGTACTATCAATAGCCAGTGAAATTTTAGGAAGCTACCTAGAAGCACAGGCTTATAGCTTAATTAGAACCATACTTATTAACGTGTAAAAATTAAATTTGCCTGGCCCCAGACCCTTCCGCACGAAGGAGGGATATATATATATATATATGATTTAGTAGTTAATTTTGATGTTGAAATATATGAGTGAGTTCTTGAGGGCGATACATCAAACAAAGAAAAGCCAAAGATTTATAAAATAATCTTTATTTCCAAACGTTTCGACATTCAATTTAATGTCATCATCAGTGGATCTAAAAACAGTATGAAAATTAGCATATCTAGGTAATTATAATATATGTGGATTGGTAAAGTAACTGTACAATAAGAGAAAAATTAACAAATAGCAACACTTAACAACAAATCAAATATAAAAGATAGGAAAGGTAGTAGAGACTAGAATTAAATAAATAATTAAAAAGTATAGGCAAAAATATTTAAGTACACTCATATAAACTTACGCATATATACATATATGTACGTACACATATACACACATATACATATACACATATACATATATATATATATATATATATATATATACATGCATATATCCATATACGCACACATACAAACATATAATACACATATACATATACAGATACAACAATATATACCTATATATGTACACATATACATGTAAGACTATACACATATAAATATACGTATATACATATATGCAGCGTGCATGCATATTCACAACGACGTACATGTACATGTATGAACCATATATATACTCATACCTATCTATGTAACTATAGCTATACACGTATACACATACATATACGTATAAACATGTATATACACACATATACACACATATATATATATATATACATATATATACATACATATATATATATACACACAATACATATATATATACATATGTACATAAATGCTCACAAATATATATATATATATATACATATATATATATATATATACATATATATATACACATACACATATATATATACATATACACATATATATACATATATATATACATATATATACACATACATACATGCATATATACGTATATATAATTACATGTATACACATATAAATATGCACATACATACAAACATACATGTAAATAAGCAATATACATATATATACATACATACATACAAATACATATATATACATATATATATATATATATATATATATATATATATATATATATATATATAAACATACAACATATGTAAACTCGTATATATGTAAAGCGAACAAATTATTTATGAAGATGGATAATACATATAAAATACAAGTGGACTTACATTACGTTGGTTAGTTACATATAGAGAAGTGTACACAGCACTAGAGATTTGGCACTAACATTTATACAACTAACTTGTCAGCACTATGCATTTTTTATATATAATTTTTTTGTATGATGTAAACAGAAAAATGATAGTTTTATTGAACAAAAATGTAAGTAGAATTATGTAATTTCTGCCACGACTTCTGTACTTTGCTAGTACCGAGGCATGTATGAAAGTCACCACATGTTTTGAGAGATTTTTAAGGGTCATTCCAGGATTGTTATGGGCGGGTAGGTAGAAAATAGTCGGAAGTTGAAACTAGTAATGTTAGGCTAGGTTTGTATGGTTAGAATTAGGAGAAAAAAAATTGGAAATATTATTTAGTATTACTAAGTAGTTATACTAATAACTCAAAAATCTAAAATAAAAATTTTTTAAGGTTTATTCAAAATTTGCTATGTATGGGTAGGTAAAGCTCGGGTATCAAGGCCGAAGTTAAACTAGGAAGTGTTGGCAAGGTTAGTAAGGTCAATTAGTTTTGTTCAGAGGAGATAATTTTGGCTACTGTACAGCCGCGTTTTTATATTTAAGTTTTTGTTTTGTATTTATTTTTAAGTTAGGCCATTTTTTCATCTTTATTTTTATCAATTGTTTGTATGTTCACAGTTATTGTTAGTTTTAACTTAAGATTGTTCTACTTTGTACGCTCTAACATTCATACCACTTGCTTGTTATTCTGTAACCAATTTTTTACTTTCTTTAAATTTTTTTTTTTTTTAGCTACTCTTTTCCTTTAACGAGCATTATGAAACCCACACAGGCTACTTGTAATAAAAAAATTTTTATACAAGAAAATTGTATCACCAATGACATCCTCCCTAATCCTTCCTTTTATAATTTCATCAATAAACATTATGGTTCTTACATCCTTTCAGAATTTAAGATATTAGCTAAACTAAACTTCAAACTTTCTACCAATATCAATAAACAGATCTTTCTTATCAGATGCAGGAAAGAAGGTATCATACCTAATTTTTATCGCCTAAATTTTACAAAATTTTCTCATCTGAACAATTCTCTTAACAACAAGTTTTCTAAACTTAGTTTACATATTCTCTCACTAGAAATCAAAAATTGCATTTGTCACACCAATAACCTGAGACGTGCTATTGATAAAATCTATTCTTGGTTATCGTATTCTGTTGAAACCGAGATCCTGGAGAGCTTCTCTGAATTTGAATCCATTCGTATTAAAAAGAACTACAACAAATCCAAAACCTCATATATTAAAAAATTCAATAAATTACACGAATCAAAAATGAATTCGTCAAAAATCATCCTGAACGAATCTCTTACCAATAAATGGCTAAAAAATCTATCTAATATCCATATACCTGATAGACTACTCTATATTTTTGCACTAGGCCCAAATTTTGCTATTCCTAACAACTGTCACAACTTTAATTTTATCAAAGTACTCAGCAGATTAGAGTCAAGCTTACAGAATATAAAAAATCCCGAAATTAAAACTAATACCCGTTCAGCTTTTTGTAAAAATTTTCTCTCGTTTATTAAATCTTTTAACACAAAAAAATCGACAATATTGACATCCTTAGAGACATTAAAGCTTGCAAACTTTTTATTAAAGAAAACCCTAACATTTTAATTACGAGGGCCGACAAGGGGAATATCACAGTCATTTTGGAAAAAACCACGTACCTAGAAAAAGTCTCCGAATTAATTTCAGACACAAAAACATATTCTCCTATTAACTCCGATCCCACTGACCGAATTAACCGTACTTTTCACAAATTTGTAAACAACTTAGTCTCTAACAAACAAATTACTCCACAAATCTCACTGACAATTAAAAACCTTCACCCTTACAACCCCAAACTCTACGGACTTCCTAAAATACATAAACACAACGTTCCTCTCAGACCTATCGTGGCTGACCTGAACTCACCTCTTTCAAAATTCTCCAAATACCTTAGCAACATACTCTCTTCAGTCACAGTCAAGTCTCGTTTCTTTACAAAAAACTCCTTTGAACTTGTCAACAATCTCCGCGATTCCGTTATTCCTGATAACTCCTTATTGGTTAGTCTTGACGTAGTATCCCTATTCACAAACGTCCCCCTACAATTAATTTTAGATGCCATCACTGCTAGATGGGACGAAATCTCTTGTCATACAACATTATCACTGCATTGGTTTCTCGAGTCCATAAAATTCATAGTTTCGAATACTTATTTCGAATTCAACGACCATTTTTACCTTCAAATATTTGGCACACCTATGGGTTCTCCTATTTCCCCTTCACTCGCAGAAATTGCTTTACAACACTTAGAGTTGAAAGTTTTTAATTCCTACAATCTAGACCTTCATTTTTATTACAGATATGTTGATGACATCCTTACTTGTGTTCCTGTTAAAATTTCGAACTCTTACTTCATAGTTTTAACTCATTTAATGAGCATCTTTCCTTTACGTTTGAAAAAGAACAAGAAAATTCTATCAGCTTTTTAGACGTAAAAATTATAAAAACCGCAGACAATCGAATTATCACCAATTGGTTCCAAAAACCTACTTGGTCGGGTAGGTATTTAAATTATCATTCTTACCACCCTTCTAGCATGAAGATAGGCACTATTATTAATTTAGTCGACCATGCCATCCTACTATCAGACAAACAATTTTGGCCCTCTAACTTATCCCTCATCCGCACAACTTTAATTAACAACTCATATCCACCGCACCTCATCAACTCCGTCACCTCCAACAGACTTAAAACCCTCAACAGTATGCATTCTTCTTTTTCCCCAGAAAAAATTCTAAGGACAATAACTATATAGGCAACGTTTGTTTACCTTACGTAAAAGAACTTTTTCCAGTGTGGAAAAAACTTTTTC